TTGGGCAAATCACACCGACATACAATCACCAATTCAATATAAATATAACGATGTCACAATATCTTGGAGACAGTCCACACAAAGAAGCAAGATAAAGTAGTAGAAACAGGGACCAAGATACTGACCCAGAAAACATCCCTCAGGAAGAAACAGTATTGGAACTGCCTGATACGGAATTCAAAAGAATTATATTTAGGTATGTATGTTCAATGGCTTGAGAGACAGATCGAGGAAAACACTGACAAAATTAAGGATAACACAGATAAAACTATAGAACAATTTAGGAAAACAATACAAGTACAAAATGACTAAATAAATGAAAAATTAGAAATGATACAAAATCCACAGATAGAAATCCAGAACACAAATTTCAGAAATACACTGAACAGGTAAAGGAGTAGAATTAAATCAACAGAAGACAGAATTAATGAGATTAAAGACAAATACCTCAATACCACTTTGTTAAGGAATCAATCAGAAAAAACATCAAAACAAAAGGAAGAAAAGCCTAAGATACATGTGGGACACCATCAAGAAGAATAACTTATGTGTAATAGGAGTTCCAGAACAGGACGAGACAAACTGTCAAACACATAGAAAACTGTCAAAGATGAATTGGAAGAGAATTTCCCTAATAAGATGAAAGATGAGAATATAACCACTAACGAAGGTTCAACAAACTCCAAACAGGACAGACCGACCCCAAAAGAAAATCACCAAGACCTATCATAATCAAACTCACCAAAACCAATGACAAAGAATTCTGAAAGCAACACAGAAAAACAAAAAGTTACCTAGCAAAGGGCAACCAGTAAGACGAAGTTCAGATTTCTCGGCAGAAACTAGGCAGGTGAGAAGGCAATGGGATGATATATATAAAACCCTGACAGAAAAAATTTTCAACCAAGGATTAATATACCTGGTAAAACTGTCCCTCAAATATGAAAATGAAATCAGCACATTTCCAGACAAGGAGAAATTAAGGGAATTTGTTAAAACCAGACTAACATTACAAGAGATGCTAAAGGGAGTCCTTTGGACAGAGACCCAAGAACAGCCAACAACAACTGGTGATTAATACACATGATGGTATAATCCAGAAACCAACCTAGTTATATATGTATCCAAAGTAAAATAAGCTTACAAGGCTCTAAACAGGAAACCGGAGACATTAATTGGTAAATAAGGTCAATTACAAACTAAAGAGAGGAAAAAAATAGTGCAGTTACAGAACTTCTAAATGGTGAGGAAGTCAAAACAACTGTGAGATAAACAGACTGTTTGAACTTGGGAAGAAAATTATAAATCACAGAGTAACCTCAAAGAAAAATAATAAACCTTCACATCAAATGAAGAAGAGGACAAGCACAAATATTTAGCAAATTTTAAAATAAGAGCAACAAGGGAAATAACATGACTCATAAAATAAGCTCAGCACAGAAAATTATATGGAACAAAGAAATCAGTGATACCATGAAAAAGCACATAACAAAATGACGACAAATTCATACTTGTCAATAATTACACTGAATGTAAATGGATTAAATGCACCACTCAAGAGAGAGTTGCAGACTGGATAAGAAAACATAACCCATCAATATGCTGTCTGTAAGAGTCACACCCAAGAGACAAAGATAAAAAGAGACTAAAAATCAATTGTTTGGAAAAAGATGTATCAACCAAATGGCAATCAAAAAAGAGGAGTAGCAATATTAATTTCTGATAAAAGTGACTTTAACACAAAAAACACTTTAAGAAACAAAGAAAGATATTATATAATGATTAAAGAATTGACTGAATAAGAGGATAAAACCATAATAAATATGTATGCACCTAATTATAGAGCCCCAAAATACATAAATGAGACTGCAAGAGAATTGAAAAGACAAATAGATGACTTCACAGTAATAGTCACTCCTTAGAAGGAAAACTGGGCAATCTACTTCCATAAAGATTTACCACCTTGGTAAACATGAATATACTGGTGGATAGATGGGTAGACAGGCTGAACTATTAGGTATGTCTACGCAGCGGGGAGTGTGCTCAAGACCATGTATAGGGTTGGCAGACAATGTTTCGACAAGTGTATTGGTATGTTCTGTAAGAATTTCCAGGTATACAGTAGAGCTGACAAGGGACAAAGTTGTAGTCACTTCTTGGCTATAGCCAGCTACCCAGAGAGGGAGTAGTTGGACCTGTGAGCTCGGCACCATAGTCACAGGAACATCAAGCTCAATTGGCATAACATACGACCCAAAACACTGTTCCACATCCTACTTAGGTGAGTAGCGAATGGGATCTTAAAACCTTGTCAGTGGCCATCTAGATGCAATGATGGATCTCTCCTCATCCAGAGCAAAGAAGAATGAAGAAAACCAAAGATTCATGGAAACAATTAGTCCAAGTGACTGTACACCATGCGATCCTCAGCCTATGTGACTATGAGAAGAGAAGAACTAGATGGTGTGTGGCTACCACTGTCAACCACTTGGAGGGGGATCTATATAGGAGAACCTGGATAGAGTGGGAGAACAATATGGAACAAAACTCAGAATCATTTGAGGGGCAAAAAAAAAATAAGGGACCAAGTTTGCTGGTATGATAGAGCCTGATAGAACCACTGAGACTATGGCCCCTAGCTCCTCTTCAGCTCTGGAACTGAACCTACTCCCATGGCTTCCAGCCATATAAAAGACAGGCAGGCATATGAGGTGAACATTTACACAAGGTAGATACTCTCCTTGGAGAGAACAATCATGGGAGAAAGAAGGGCTGCTCATGCACAGGGAGACAGCTCAGGGGGCAGGAGTGTATGGAGGGAAGGTCACAGGGAAGAGGTAACTATGAGGAGGAAGTGGGAGGGGAGCTGTTGCACTGAGGTAAATTGTAGTCAACATCATGAGACAAAGTGTATGTGAGCTGCTGTATGGAAAGTGAATTTGTTGTTTAAACTTTCACCCAAATCACAATTTGGAAAAAAAAAAAAAAAAAAGATTAAACATCAAAAAACAACAACAAAAAAAGATTTGCCACTTTGGAAACAAAAGGGGGTAACGATGAGACAAAATCTACTCAATGACAGTGTGTGTGTGTGTGTACACTTTTTTTTTTTTTAAGTATTAGGAGCCTTTAATATACCACTTTCAATGAAAGATAGAACAACTGGAAAGAAATTCAACAAACTCAACATAGAAGAACTAAACAATACAATCAACCAACTTGACCTTATAGACATCTATAGAGCACTTCACCCAGCAACAGTGCACATGGAACATTCTCCAGGATAGACAGTATGTTATGCCACAAAGCAAGCCTCAATAAATTCAATAGGAATATCAATGGAAAAAGAGCAAACACATGGAAACTGAGTAACACGCTCCTTACACACTCCTTAAAAACTACTGGGTAACAGAAGAAATAAAAAATGAAATAAAAAAAATCCTTGACTCAAATGAGAATGAAAACACAACACACCAAAATCTTTGGGATACAGCAAAAGCAGTAATCAGAGGGCAATTTACAGTAGTAAATGGCTACAAGAGAA